TTGGTTTAAGGGGTGAGCTCTAAATGTAGCAAAGGAGTGAGCATTTGAGATGTGAAAACAGCCAGCTTCCTCCTACCCACCTGGTGTTGCCATCAAACTGCTGAGTGCAGAAGTTAACTTATCAGAAAGCTTTTCTGTTATTAACTTGGTTTAGGGGTTGACTATAAAAGCCAGAGTTTAATAGGTTCCTACATAGTACCTGATGCACAGGCAGATGTTCCTACATAGTACTGATGCACAGTAGTTCCTCTGCATCTGCCTGTGTTCCTGCTATGTTCTCTGAAAGGCTGTTCAACATGACTTAAACTGTTCAGATTTCGTGGGAGATCTGGTCTTTGTGGGATTCTTCCAACTTCTTTCCTGGTGGACTGAAGTGGAGCGCAGCTTCCCTGTTTGTGGGGTGTTCCTTTGTGCCCCTGGACATGCAGTATTGAACCGCAAGTGCCTTAGTCAGGTTTCAGATTCATTTACAGGTGTGTGACAAGCTAGGAAGGAAGTTGCAAATCACAGACGAGGAATATAGCTGTTCTTGAATTTGTTGCCAGCTCTCTTCTCACTAAAGATGAACCTGGGAATGTTTTGCTTCAATGCTGCATGTTTCAAATATGTGTAAACCCAGTGTAAAAATTTTGGTAGGAATTGGCTGTGCTTTAGAGCACATCCACGGAGAGGTCTTGAGTACATACGTTTCTCTTGAAGGAAAAAGAAAAAAATGTGGAGGAATTAATTTCATAACAAGATTGTATAGATGCACTAATGTTGTGTGAAAGCAATAGCTTTTTTCAGGGTAGCGAAATGAACTCTGGATTAAATTTAGCTCAGTTAAAGTAAAAATTACTTTAACTGTCAGATATACAAGTTCAGCTTTGGCACACACAAATCTAACCACACTCAGTATTGTGGTTACATGCTGTATTTATCACTAAGTTAAATTCCGTTCTCGATTACACTTGTAACTTCAGTTTTGTTAGGATTGCACTGTTATAGCTGGGGTCAGTTTGGCCTTATGTGAATTAAATTGTTACACAGACAAAAACTGAATCCAGCTTGTTTCCTTGTAACACTAGTGACTGCAAGTTGTGTGCAGGTACACACATAACCTTTTCTGTCTGAGCAGTTTAGTGCCAAATGGTCACAGAGAGCAAGTGTATTGAGTAGGACAGGTATATTGAGAACTGCAGGTGTTCCTCTTCTAAAAAGACATGAAATAAGGTATCTTAAAACAGTTGTTGATGAGCCAAAATATTGTTATGAATGCACCCATTTCTTGTCCCGTATAAGCTTCTGGTAGCACATTGGTGTGCTTCTGGTTGAGAGGCTTGTGTTCCTAATTGGCACAGGGTCTTGGATTTGGCTTTAAAAACATTAAGTATCTAACTCTGACTTTGGATGTTCCAAAGTGAAACACTTCTAAATTTTGGAAAAAATAATCTTCTGGTAGCATAGCTTTCTTCTTTGTCCCTTTAAAAAGACTGTGGCGTGACAGTGGATTATTATAAACTGCTGCTTCAAAACAAATTGTACTAATGTACTGAGACTAACTCAGAGTAGAGTATGTTTTCTGGGGAGCAGTAACAGAAGAGGGGGGGGAAAGTTTGTTGGACTTTTTTGCAGAGCCACAGACTCTGCTTGGGAAAGAAAGTCTTCTTGGTTGCAACATATGGTGTGGTCTGAGCCACAATTGGCGATACATGACAGTGTGGTGGGTCATTGAAAAGGACCAAACTTAATACTAGAAGAGGGATTGATTTCAGGCTCTGACTGGGTTGTGAGAATTCAGATTGGGAGACAATAGTGCCCCACAAGAAGACTTTTACTTTCCTTCCAACTTTTAAAAGTATATGACTGGGTATGGGAAGAAGAGACTGAGTATAGCATGTTTGAAAACTAAAAATTTAGAAACTGAAGTCACTGATACTCCATGTACTTAAAATATATCCTTGCCCAAAATATATCTTTTAAATATGCTGTGCTTGTGCCAGAACTGTTGTGTGTCAAGGTTGCTTCATGGAAGTGTAAAATTAGAGTAGTGTAGAAAGAAGGTTGCTAAAAATATGTAGTGTGTTTGTATGGTAAAAGCCCAAGGATAAATTTCTCAGGAAAAGATAAGTTCACAGAGTAACAGAGAAAGAAGATAACTCTAGGACATGCATTGAAGAGTGATACTAACAGGTGGCACAGATGTACCTCATCTAGAATAGGCTCTCTACCTTGTTTTGCCTAATGCCCTTTGGCCAACACATGGCTTAAATAGCATGTATTTGGAGGAGCAAAATGGTAGAACCAAGCTTTTCATTGCCAGTTGACAATGTTTTAGATCTTTCCTATCTAGGCAAAGTAAAACTAAACTTAAACTCACTCAGACTTTCCAGTAAGGGCAAAAATAGTATGAAAAATAAGCTACTAATTGCTATTTTTTAGACTAAAGGACCATAGTTTGTTTCAACCCATGTATGTTCAGTTGTTGTTGGAATTTGTCATTAGTGTTCACTGTCTCATCTTTGCATGGGGGGATGGACCAGGTGACCTCCACAGATCACCTTTCAACATAAACTATTCTATGATTTGAGAGCATCCACTTAGGCAAAAATATGTATTCCTAAAGCTATAATAAACCATATTTGGTTGATCATCTCACTTTTTCCATCCACAAAATTCATTATAACTACTTCTAAGTCACCCCTCTGCTCCATAAGCTCTCTTTTAAGAAATAACCAGGTGAGACTTATTTCAAATTCTGGATTAAATGGCTGAAACTAAAACACCAAACACTAGAAACTTAAAATTTCAAATTTTGTTGTCTTCACCCTTTCTCTTTAAAAGGGGAAGGATAAGATGTTATGCTGCTTAACAATTCTTTTTTTTTTTTTCCTCATAACCTGTCCAGCAGACAGTATTGTACATAGGTTTACTGGATATGAAATTGCTGTTTGAAACAAAATTTTAGCCTTTAGATTTAAAAACTTTATTTTTGTTACACTCAAACAATAGAACTAGATGTTGCTAATGCCACTTTTTCAGTAACTTCTTATAGTCACAGATGCCAAAAAACATGCCTCAGTGAAGAGAAGATGTGTAAATGACTACCTACCACCTGAAGTCTTTCTAGAATAACCTACATTTCTCAGCTTTGAAAAAGTAGTGTTGTTCTTTTCAGATTGTTCCCACTGGGTTTGTTAGCTCTAGTAGTGTATATAAAAGCCTGGTTGTCTATAACAAACTTTTCTTTACAGGGGAGTGATAGGTACATTGTATCTAGTGACACCAGAGCACAGCTGAGATTTCTTGAAAAGCTTGATCACCTAGAAAAGCAGAGAAAGGATGAAGAGGAACGTGAAATGTTGCTTCGAGCAGCCAAGGTAAGAACTTCACTTCTTGCTTTCCAAGGGAGTAGTGGTGTCCTTTAGACTGGTGAACATCTTCAGGTTTCTCCTATTTCTGCTTTAAATGTAGTAACCATTAATCTTGTAACTGGAAATCCATAATGTTTAGGATAGTTCAGATTATACAGAAAAGGGTTTTTGCTTTTTTACATTCCTTAAAAAAAAATAAAAATCACAGGATTTCTTTCAAATGTGTGCTGGGGTGAGGTCTCCCTTTGAGATTATTTCTGCTGGTCAGAATGAAATAAAAGAAGTATTCACATAGCCATAAACATCCTTCCTGGCTCTATTTTTAAAGTTGGTATGTCTTTCTCCATATATGTGTATGGCTCTGTTTGAAAACAGGGGTTTGCTTTGCTTGTTGAAGCTGGAGCCCAGTGAGATCCGGCACCCTGCCTGCCAAATGTGTTTGTTTTCTGTAGTCAGCTCACAGGGCTAACCTTGGAGCTGGTACCCTAGCATCTGCAAGCTCACTGCTAGTGCAGAATAAGTACCTTTCTTCCCTCTTCCCTCCCCTCAAGAATGGGAGCAAAAAAAACCCCCAAAACATCAGTAGATGTTGCTCCATAAGCTGTGACTTGGTCATCTTCTGTTTGTTGCTTTTTGGTTTTGTTTTAAGCTGAATTCTGGAGCCCCTTGAGTGGAAGCCTAATCTCGAGTTGAAAGAATTGTGTTGTACTTGCATGAGTGCAACTCCCTTTCTTTCCTACACTTCCTGTCCTTTTTAAGTGTCTGCTGCTGACATGAACAACATCATGCCTAGACTGGACCTGACTGACAATGTTAGCATCATTTTCAGCTTAATCTTGCTTCAGGCTAGAGCAGAGGCAGCCGGCCCAGATGAGGAGGGGGGGGGGTATGGATGGGGGGAGGGAAGCCAGTCTGGATTGAGGCATTCACCCCTGGAGCTAAAGCTTTCAATCACCAGAGAAAATTGTCATTTATTAAATATTTAACGGGTACGATGGTGTTTGGATGCCAGTAATTTCTATTCAATCTTTTTCCTCTTCCTTTGGTAGAGCCGTTCCAATAAAGAAGATCCAGAGCAGCTGCGGTTAAAGCAGAAAGTGAAAGAGGTAGGACTTTCCAGTTACCATGCTTGCCTTTGTGTGTTGAGAGAAGGTTGGCAGCCCTGTCCTGGCAATTAGGTCAGGGTTTATTTTGCTGCTGCATACCATTTGCAGAGGCCTCGGGGAAGGACAGGAACTGCCACAGGCAAGGGCAGTGCTTCAAATGAGGTCAATGAATTATGAGCTCTCTTTTTTAACATTTTATTTTCGTAGTTTCAGTCCTGTCTAGAAACAGTCTTTTGTAAACTGCAGCAGTACACTTAGTAGGAATATAATGTGGGATGGGGGGGGGGGCGGGGAAAAAAAAGAAACTTTGAGATTTAGCATCTGGGACTGTACAATAGGCTACATTTTTCCAGGGTAATTGTTCGTTTTGTAAATCTGATACTGCTTATAATTCTTTGGCTGGGAGGCGGTACTGGGATTTAGTTTTAAATGGAAAACGCCTCTGGCTTTTAATTTTCTGGGCCCAGCAGTTTTCTGTTCTGGAATGGAGCCCTTGTTTCACACAGTTCATGTTTAGCTGCAGGGGTTTTAGTTTATAGCTTAGACTGGTTAAGCTTTTACTCCCAGAGGCCTCTGCATAGCAACTGTAGAAATCAACAAATAAGTTCATTTATGTCTGCAGCCTCCTCTCAGTAGCTGACTTTTTACATTTCCCAATATCCATTTCCTGACTTTTCTAGCCTGAGAGAAAAAAGCTCCACTAATTGGAGCTTATTTTAATTGAGCCTTAATATTGGATCTCACTGGAGTTGCCCCCAGAGCTACTGGGAACAGAATGAAATGAAAGTAGCTAAGGTTGAAGATGTGTGTGTGTGTGTGTACGTGTGTGTGAAATTTTTCACTTGACCTACAGATTCTTTTCCCTGCTGAATAAATCATCAAGCCTGTTCACATTTCTGATTAAGGATCTGACAGCAGACGATAATAAAGACAATTGAGGTGTGAGACGTGTGATACAGAGCTGAAGAAATTGGTTTCTATAGTTACTTGACTGATTTCATGCAATTTTTAAGGATCTTTGTGCTAAATGAGAGTGATTTTCTGAGCAACCTTTTTCCTTAACTGTGCCTCTTGAACTATGAAATTTGTTGTTGCTTAACATTGCTGCACTTGGCTCCTAGGTGCCAGCAGCAGCAGCAGGTTATTTATGAATGCTTTAAAGGCCCTTATTGTTTGGATTAATGTAGGAGCCCAGGCAAAACAAATGGAAATCCAGTAAAATAGTATTAGAATCAATGTTCTGGATTTGCACCATAGTCGAAGAGATTTGTAAAATAAAAGGAGAGAGAAGGAACTTGCTTTACTATCTATCTTTTAATTCTTTCTTTCTGCCTATAACTCTTTCTTCATACTTATAATCTGTGAGTACAAATTTGCCCTAAAGACCTTCCCAGTTTGCCTCTAGTGCCACCAGGATCAACAATCAGTGGGTGATGCTAATTTGTCTTGTTTTGTAGGTGGCTTTACCTCAGTATCGACTGGATGTTTCTCGAGACTCCTTTTAATAAAGCACTGCAAAGGGATTCATTTGTGCAGCTGCTTTTCTATTTTCCTCTGAACTATAATGTCTAGGATCTTGAAAAATATTCTGTGATTTGGATATTTAAAACAGAAAGAAGTTAGGTATGTGTTTTGGGTCCTTTTTTAGTTTTATATTGGCTGATATTGTTAATGAGATCTGTGGCATATTGGTGTACAAAAAAGGAGCAAACAGAGCAGAGAAGGCATATAAGTTTAGTGCTTGGTGTTCTATTAAGTGCTTGAGTTCACCACCTTTAGTGCATCTTATCTTGTGCCATACTAACACAGCCTTCATTGCACTTGTCCTGCATACTTCTCCATGCTGTGCTGCTTCCAGAGTGACAGTCTCCAACTGCTTCACCAAAAGAAGAGGAGGCAGATATGCCTCTTGGGATGATGCAGACAATCTTCATTGGTATTGCCTTGCTCTCTGTCTTGCTGCTTTGTTTTCTGGAGAACGAGGCAGCCAACTTCTCCAGGCTTCATGTGCTGCACAGGAAACCCACCTTCTGTGCAAGGTGTTCTTTCTTATCTGTGAGATCATCTCAAGCTTGAGTGGAAGTGAGCCCAAATGCAGCTGGTCAGTTTTGGCACTTTCTTGACAGTTTAGAGGCAAATGGTCATCATACATCTACATTAAAAAATGCAAACATGAGTGGAGCTGGAATAAGAGCAAAAGAAAAATCAACAAATATCCCAAGGATGAAACAGGTAATGCAGAAGCACAGTGTGTACTGGCATAAAAACCTGAAAAGGCTCACCATTGTCTGTCTCATCGTGTTGTGAGTGTAGCCCACTCCTAAAAAACCACACTTGAGAATTTTGATACCTCTGTCAGATAGAATCAGATTCATTTCCAGGCCACTCTGGTTTGGTATCCACTGGAAAGCCTGATCTGAACCCCTTGAAGTTCTGTAAGAATTAACACGGCCTTCCATCCTCAAAGCTGTCAGTGTTGATGGTGACCCCTGGGAGAAGGGAGAGGGTTGGGGTAATGGCACTGGAGTATGTTCTAAAGCAATGTTTCCCAAAATACAGAGTGTACATCCTAACAGTGAATACTTATAAATCCAGGATGTGCTGTCCTCCAGCAGCTGGAGGCAACATCTTAACATTGCTGGAAGTACATCCAGAGACTCAGCAGTGGATTCTTTTATCCAAAAGGCTATACATAATTGCTGTGACCTTTTCATCCTTTTTTGCATGACCTGTTGCCTCGAACTTCCCCTATGCTAAGTAATTTACTTTCCTATGTTCTTAGTCTATGTAGCTTGCTATGAATTAAGTCTATTTACTTCCCCCTTTCACCTGTTTCAGCAGATCTTAATACCTACAGAAAGTGTGCATTCCTTTTGAGACAGCTGCAAGGCTTGCCTCAAGCTACTCCTTTGTGCACTCAAGAATTTTGTTCTTGCACCTCATGGGCCAGCTCTTTGTTCTTGAAGTCTGGGCAAACTAGCCCGGCTTTTCATTCAGCCTTATCTGCCACTTCAAGCTGAGAGGGTACAGTCCCTGCATTGTCCCTGATGCTTGCAGTTTTAAACCATAACTTTTTTTGGGTGCTTCCTGCTATTTCCTCTTCTACTTTCAACTATACTTCCAGTTACAAAGAAAATGTTCAGCTGATGCAATTCCTGTAGCTGTATTTATAGTTTATCTCTGGCTTCAGCCCTTTTCTGAAGTGAGCTTACTTAAATTGAGGAGGTGTAGGATACTGTCAAATGTGCAAGCATGCCATATGAACAGTGCAGCCCAGAAGACCTGTAAAAATGTCAGTATTAAACTGTGTACTGTAAATTTAAATATAAACCCTGATCTGTTGTACTTCTTTCTCTCATCTTCAAAAGTGAGTGTGCTCATAGTATGTCTTCAGGAAGCTTAAGGCTGAGGCTGGGCAAGCCTTTCAGATTGTATGTGTGCAAGATTGCTATTTGGGGTTGAGCAGGTGAACAGGTATCATGCTGATAGCATTTTTGCTTATTGCATAGTAGCTACTTTCATCTCTGCTCTTACCTTGTGGCAACTTGCAGCATGTATCAGTGGGTAAAGGTGAGCAGCTGTGTCCTGAACTAGGGAAAAAGTGTGTGGAGCAAGCACCTGATGGACAGCAGACTTGCTTGCCCCAGTCCTTGCTGTTCACTTACAACTGCACAGGTCTTTCCAGTCCCTTGTTCATGCCTCCTTGGTGCACTTGTGCATTTTACTGTTATGATTTTGACACAGGTATCACAAGACTGCAGCAAATGAGGTGCTGAGAAAATTCAGTGCCTCAGCTGAGTGGGAGGAAAGTAGCAAACCCTAGGTTTTTTGTAGAGACAAAACAAACTCCATCAAAAGCATTGAAAATAAGTCTACATGATTCCAGTGAGTTTCCGGGTGCTATACAGTAATGACTGAAATTACAGTTGTTCTGTAGCATCTTTTTTCAAAAATAATCTTATTTTTCTGTTTCATGTGTCCATCTTAACTCTTCCCCTTATTTCCTCTCACATTCTCCAATAATAAGTAACTGTAACCTGATTCTTTGCTGCTCTCTCTACTGTCTCCAACTCGGGTGTTCAAGCTGTTTGTTTCCTTTTTTCCCCACACCTCTTGTGCTGCTTCTTTATTTAGTTTTCTGGACCTAATGCTTTGCATTCTTTAAGACCACTTTTGTAGCAGGAGAAAAGGAAACTCCTTAGTTAACCATAACCTCTGAAAAAAAACAAACGAGATGCTGCAAGCAAAGATCTCATTGCAATCAATTGGCTTTTTATGAGCTTTCGGTGACATCCTGAGAGCTTCTGCTTAATTATGTGATTTATATTATCTTTATTGTTCTGTAGTGTTTCTTACCTGCTTCTGCATGTTTTGAAACATATTGAACAGACATAAATTTTGTTACTTGCAGTGTAGCCCCTACAAATAGCAAAGGGCTGTCATCAGAGATTCGGTCTGTTACGAGTCTCACAGAAAGTCAGAGGTGGAAATCTTGTGAAATGTTGGATTATTGAGCAAACTGGAAAGTGAACCAAATCCCTGTTTATGTGGCATTCATCTTGGTGTTTTGAAGGAGCATAAGAAAAGAGCAGCTGAGATTCTGCATTGGATACCCTAAAACCAGCTGGCTGGAAGATGATGGCAACTATCTAGTGAAAAATAAAAGCCACTCCCAAAACTCCATTGAGCCTGTTCTTGGATTTTCAAATAGCCTTTTGTAATTTTCGCTGGGAGGCTGGAATGGACATGTAACCAGCTGAAAGTATGGCCTTGGATTAGAAAATTGCTAATAGAGGAAATTTTAGGACTAAAAATACAACAAAAAGGTGATAATGGAGAGCCAGAGAGTTCTGTGCCATGAATGAGTGTTGGGTGGACTGCATGATGAGATGGAGAAACCTGCAGGTGGAAGATAAATCCTAAATGTTCTCTGGCTTTGAGACCTCAAGAGTGAGTGAATGAATGCACAGTGTTACAGCAGCTGAAAATCATTAGAAATA